TGGTAATGCTGTTATTTTTTTTCCTTTTTTTTCTTTTAAGGTTCTATTTATTTATTTGAGAGAGAGAGTGAGAGAGAGAGAGCATTAAGTGGGGGAGAAGTAGAGGGAGAGGGACAAGCAGACTCCTCGCTGACCGCAGAGCCCAACATGGGGCTTCATCCCACGACCCTGAGCTCATGACCTGAGCCAGAATCAAGAATTGGACACTTAACTGATTGAGCTACCCAGGCTCCCCATTAATGCTGTTATTTCTGACTTAGCCTGGGGTGGAATAGTTTGTTGGGTCTGATGGGGCAAATTTTCCACTGATGTAGCTATTGTCTCAAGAACTGCTCCATTCACTTTCTTTTGTACTTCTGTGTGAGCTGGTACAAAGTTCTTATACAATGTCTTATGTCTTATACAAAGTATAAGACAAAGTTCATTTACCTCATCCGTCAAGTACACCACTTGACAGATGAGGTAAACAAACTTTGTCTTTTATTTATAAAAATATTCTCTTTCAGGCTAGCTGACTTTTTTTGCCATTTTATAAATAACTGCTTCTTAAAAATAAGGTACAATGACAATTTACAAACTGAGGTCTTTCCTAGTTTTGTGGAATAATGAAATCCCAGAAACGAAAAGAACTTAATGATTCATTTAGTAACATCTCTAGGCAGTCATGCATCTCCTTGCCAGAGCAGGCTTTATCTCCTAGATCTAGCCCAGTGCCTAGCACATAGTAAACATTCAACTAATGTTTACTGAATCACTGACTTAGGGAATAATGGCTGCTTACAAATTTTAGCAAATGAAATTCATCTTTGGCTTTTAGCAATTTTAAAGTCATTCATGTTATTTAAATGCATTTCAATATATATAAACTTTTTATTAAAAATTCTCCAAAATAAAAGTTTAAGGAAATATACATGCCTTAATTCATGATATTTATTGGGTTATTAAAATTATTTTTAAAAATAGTAGTTCTCTATGCACTGTGCTGACTATACTAAGAAAGAGCTTGAATATACTCTAAAAGTTTTGTTATCTAAGGCTTACTTCAGTATGATGAATTTACAAGGACTGAACTTGAAAAAAAATTAGCAAAATTGAAATAATTAGTGTTATCATCATGCATTAGTTTTCTTAGGGCTGATGTAACAAATTACCACAAATCGGTTGGCTTAACACAACAGAAATTTTTTCTCTCACGGTTTTGGGATCAAGGTAGTGGCAGGACCATGGTCTTCCCAAAGGCTCTGGGAAGATTCCATCCTTAACTCTTCTAGCTTCTGGCAGCTACCACAATCTTTGATATTTCTTGGTTTGTGGCAGCATAATTCCAATCTCCGTCTCTGTCTTTACATGCCTTTCTTCCTTGTGTGGCTGTGTGTCTCCAAATCTTTCTCTTTTAAGGATACCAGTCCGTTACTGATCAACATTAAAGAAGACCTAAATAAATGGAAATACATATAATGTTCATGGATCAGAAGACTCATTTTATCTACTCTTCTTTAAGTGGTCTATAGAATCAATGGGATCCCAACTAAATCTTGATAAGATTTTTTTTGTAGACATTGCCCAGCCGATTCTAAAATTTACATGGAAATGCAAAGTATCAAAAATGACCAGAATCAAAAACCACAAAAGGATTTTTAAAAAGATCAAAGTTGGAGAAGTCATACTACCTGATTTCAGAAGTTATTTTAAAAGCTGTAGTAATTAAGTCTGTGGTATTAGTTTAAGGAAACACAGCTAGATCAATGGAATAGGATAGAGGGGAAAAAATGGACTCATTTATGACCAATTGTTTTTTGACAAAAGTACAAAGATGAGTCAATGGAGAAAGCGTGGTCTTTTTAACAAAGATGCTAGAAAAAGTTGGTGTTGATGTGCAAAAAAGAGAACTTTGATTAAAAAAACAAATTAATCATAGGATGAAATGCAAAACCTGAAAGTATAAAACTTCTAGAAGAAAACATATAAGATCATTTTTGTGACCTCAGATTAGGCAAAGATTTTTTTGATTCAACACCAACATTATAATCAATAATAGGCAAAGTTCAATAACGATTCATCAAAATTTGGAACTCCAAATCTCTGATAGACTATTACAAAAATGAAAATACAAGCCACAGGCTAGCAGAACTTATTTTATAAATTGTATGTGACAAAGGACTTATATACAGAACATATAAAGAACTCCCAAAACTCAGGAATAATAAAACTAATAACCCAATAAAAATGGGCAAAAGATTGACTAGACACTTTACCAAAGAAGATGTACAGATAGCAAATTAGCACATAAAAATGGCATTAATCCACACTGAGACCCATAATGACAATATTATTAGTCATTAACCTCCTAACACAACGATTGGATTGGCTAAAGTTTAAAAGAGTAACAGTAATAGGTGCTGATAAGAGTATGAAGAACCAAAACTCATATAATGCTGTGGGAATGGAAAATAGTAAAACTATTTTGGAAAATAGTTTAATAGTTTCTTAAAAAGTTAAATAATCACTCTCCTTATGGCCCAGCTATTCCACTTCTAGGTATTTACCCAAAAGTAATGAGCATATGTCCACATAAAGCATATGTCCACATAAAGATGCATAAATGTTCATAGCTGTTTTATTTGTAATAGCTCAAACCTGGAAGAAACTAAAATGTCCACTAACATGCCAACGGGTAAACAATTTGTGGCATATCTATACAATGGAATGTTAGTCAACAACAAAAAAGAAATGCACTATTGATGCACTTAGCAATGTGGGGACATATCTCAAAAGAATTTTGCTTAGTGGAAGAAGCCGCGCACAAAAAAGTACATGTTATATGATTCCATACATATGTAATTACAGAAAATGTAAACTTCCCTATAGTGTTATAAAATAGACCAGTGGTTGTCTGGCGGGTTGTTTTTAGTCGTGAAAGGAAGGACTGAGAAAACTTGGGGTGATGAATGGCTCATTATTTTGATTACGGTGATGGTTTCACAGGAATATATATGTATCAAAATTTATTAAATGGCACGCTTTAAACATATGCAGTTTATTACATGTCAATTATAGCTCACTAAAACGGAAAAATTAAGAATTCAAGGATTATAGGCTGGGTACTGTTTTAAAGTTCTCACCTTTTATTTCTTCAGTAGGCTTCTATGATATAAGTCTGGTTACCTTAAAAAAACACACGTAAGGGCGCCTGGGTGGCTCAGTGGGTTAAGACTCTGTCTGCGGCTCAGGTCATGATCTCAGGGTCCTGGAATCAAGCCCCTGCTCAGCGGGGAGCCTGCTTCCCCCTACCCCTTTGCCTGCTTCTCTGCCTACTTGTGATCTCTGTCAAATGAATAAATAAAATCTTTAACAACAACAACAACAACAAACAACACACGCAAGCCTAGTCCCCCAAATTAATTTTGGGCAGCATAAGAGAAATGTCTGGAGCTTTAGGACATTTCCAAATAGCAATAAACTACAGGTTAATCAGCGACGGAAAAAGAGAAACAGTTTCTTCTGGATTTAAGGAATGACAAAGGGTGGGCTGGGAGATCAGGAAAAGAAACCGAGGCTGAAATGCGGGGAAGATCTTGGCAGGGGGAAGGGGCAAGACAGTGCCTACAGGTCCTCACCGGCAACTCTACAGATTCTCTAGGCAGGTGGCTCCAAATGGATTAAAATGTTACAACGTATGTCAATTTCTCAGTCGCGAAAAGCGCTCTTCTCTGAGTTCGTCCTGCCAGCTGCAAACTCCGTGGCTGGCGCGTTAATAGAAGGCGCACACGGGTCGGGTCTCCGCGCTTCTTCCGGAACGCCGCGTCCTGTCCTCGGTCGCCCCCTGCTGGCTATTGCCTGGGGACCCGCAGGCGCACGGGTGAGGCAGGAGGCAAGGTGCAGCCAATAAGGTCTCGGCGATGGAGCGGACTCGCGCGTATTTCCCCACACGTTGGATGCCTCGGCATTCTGGCACCTGTATGGCTGCCCTAGATTCCAGTTTCCCAAATGCGGAGCTCATTCCAGCTCCTCTCTGCTTCCGCCCGTCCAGTTTCATTCAGATCTTGTAGGTGGGAGTCGGGGTAAGGGAGCTGCGTTAAATGGTTGTGACCTCCAGGTTTCAGGTCCGAACTTCCAAGCATGGGGGCCGCAGGAGAGTACTAACTATAGGAAGACTGTCACAATTGACCCCCACGTTTCGAGGAACTGAGGGAGGAGGGAAACCTGTCCCCTTAAATATCAAATAGTACCCCTCCATTAGAGTTCATCCTGTTCCCGACTTGTCCCAGATCTTAATCTGTCACTTTACCACCGCATACAGAACATTGGAAATCGTCCTCATGTCCCACTGTCCCCAACCCCCAAGTGGCCGAGAGCGGGCAGTCCAGAAGCCGAGACCTGGCTCACCTGCCCGAAGGCAAGGTGGGAAGGACCTCCATGGGCTTCGGTGAGGACCAGCGCGGGGTGAGGAGGGACGCGCCTACGAGGGGGGAGTTTGGAACAGGCAGAGGAGCCCACACCTCCAGCTTCCAGCCCAGGCAGGCGAACTGCTTGACATTCCGGTCCACACCTGATTGACAGGAGGGAGTCGCTGCCCAGGAGGCGGGAGTGGGTGTGTAGAGGCGGAGACAACACCCCAGCCGCGCGCGCTGCCGGCCAGGGCTTGCGCTCCTAGACGGTTGGGGTCGGGGTCTAGTGCCTCCTACCTCCTCAGGCGTACCGGTGGCTCCTCAGAGCCTGGCACTCGGAGCCTGGCAAGGATCACGAAGTGTCCCCCGCTGGGGCTGCTGCCTGCAAAGAGGGGGCAGGGAAGCCGGGAGCCCGGTGCGCCACTTCGCCGGCAGCCTCGGCCTGGGCCAGGACTGGCTCGCGGTTCCCTCGCGGCTTTGCTCGGGTCCGCCTCCCCCTCCCTCCCCCTTCCCGCGAGCTGCCTCCGCCCTCCTTCCTCTGCCTCCACCCTCAACCCCCATCCCCGTCTGTCGGGAGCTGGGCTCCGATCCCTTAGTCTGCCCGAGCTCTGGATGTGGGCGCCGGACAAGTCCACGGCGCCTCCCCCCAAGATGGACAGCCGCTACACCAGCACTGCGGGCATCGGGGACTTGAACCAGCTGAGCGCGGCCATCCCGGCCACGCGGGTGGAGGTGTCCGTGTCCTGCAGGTGAGGACGCAGCCCTTCCCCTCCCTCCTCCTGCTCTCTCATCTGCCTGGTGGGTAGCGCTTGCCAAGCGCTCGGGGCACCCCGAGGCTTTGCTGGGGTGAGAAGTTGCGAGACGAGTGGGAAACACCCCAGTTGTGGGTCTGAGTCACCCCCCCCCCCCCCCAGCTGCAGTGACAGAGCGGAGAGCACGAACGTGAAGCGAGTAGTGGGCTACGGAACTGAGACTTTTAATTTTCTTTCTGGGAAATGCTGTAAAAGTTGGCTGGGCTGTGACTCAGCGGCGGGAACCCCGGCCGCCGCCCACTTTGCAAGCCCTTTTTACGTCCCAAACCCGAACTGTTGTGGTTGGGTGATACGGGAATCAAAGAGGCCAGCATTGCCAAGAGCGCCTGTGACCGCTGCACGCAGTGGCCCGGGACTCCGTTCGCTAGGCGTGTGCAAACCTGCTATTGCTACAGTTGGCTCCAAATCTCGCTGCTTCCTCCCCACCCACTTCCTGGAGCCATCCAGCTTGCTTCCCCGCCCCACCCCTCCTGGCTTCTTGCTTTATGCCTGATAGGTAGAGATTTCGGCTCCAGCTTTCTTCGCAGACGAATGTGTGACTTACCCAAAATCTGGGAAGTCACGACTTTCTGCCTGCAAGTAGACACAGTTGGAGTGCTTATAACAACTGACATTCTGCCCAAGGACTGTAGATTTTAACTCCTTTGCCTGACATTGTTTGGGTCAGTTTTCCTGTAAATAAAGCATCATAATTCCTGTATCTCGGTAGATTTTGAGAAAGAGGTGGGGCGGACTATAATAAATTGATAATGGCCGCGGGAGAGGGAGAATTTGCATCATATTGACTCTGGAGCCCACTCCCTTGTTTGCATACTAGGATCTCTCTCAATGGAAAAAACTTCCGTCCTAACCACTTTGGCCCCAAGGTTGTTTTCAGTACCCTCGCATTCCTTTACTTAGCAAAATTTGCCTCGAAGGAATCTAACAAACTTGGGGAATCTTTTAGATGTAAATAAACCCTGAAACTTAAAATGGTGTTCCCCCAGTAGTATTCGATTTTGCATTTTCACAAGACTGAGTCGAGAGCCAAAGAAATGGATTTTCACTTTTTGTGGAAATTCAAGCACCAACAAACCAGTAGAGGTGTTAATTAGGGGATAGGGGATAACCTTTAGCTATCCCTGAGACTATTTCCCATGATTGCTCGCTTCCTCTTAAGGCTGACCTCAGACTGTGGGAACAATGCTGGTAATGGTAGCTAAGCTTGCACTCTTGCCTTACTACTGTGTTTCTTGCTTTAAGGGCTGCCCGAGATTTCTTCCTGTCAATTGAACAGGTGAGGCTATATGGAAAACTCTTTTCAGACATTAATTTCTAGGCCTTTTTCTTTATTCTGAAGCTGCCTTTGGATGCCCAAGGGAGGTCATTAGTATACACACATAATGCAAGGCCAAAAGTCCTGCAGTAAAAGCATTTTCTAGAGTTCTTCTCTGCTGAACATTCTACGAAGCCTGAATGGCATGTAGCCTGTACTTGACATGAATATAAAAGTGTTATAAAATAAGGAGGCGCCTGAGTGGCTCAGTGGGTTAAACCCTCTGCCTTAGGTTCAGGTCATGATCTCAGGGTCCTGGGATCCAGTCCCGCATTCGGCCCTCTGTTTAGCAAGGAGCTTGCTTCCCTTCCTCTCTCTCTGCCTGCCTCTCTGCCAAGTTGCGATCTCTGTCTGTCAAATAAATAAATAAATAAATAAATAAATAAATAAATAAATCTTAAAAAAAAAAGTGTTATAAATTAAATCCCAATTTCCCAAAAATTCTTTAGGACTGATGGGGAAATGATACCTTCACTGGTTTTTCTGCCAGTGGGATCCACAGTTAACCACTCTTGCCTGTGCGCGAGCACACAGGGGCAAGGTGTGTCAGGAATCCTGTAGTTAATTGGCTTTAAGCCAGTTTGTTTAAACTTGGTACCTCAGACCCTGGACATACCCTTGTTTAGCCTTTTCTTCTTATCATTGATTTGGTGTCCTGCTTTTTTAATTTTTAAGTTTTCACATTAAAAAAAAAAGTCCTGAAATAGAACCCAAGTACGTAGAGTACTTACATTGTTGGGAACTGAATCTTGTAAACAGAGATGGTATCCTTTCGGCTTTGGGATAAGAGACCTGGTTACAGATTCTGGCTCTGTGACTTAACGATGTTGTTACCTTGGAGTTAGTACTTAAGCTGAGCTTCCTCATCTCTAAAATGAGGAAAATTATGGTGTTTATCTCATACAGAATGACATCAGAGTTTGTTAAGATGATGTCTTATACACTGTAGGACACAAAAGTGTTAAAAAATGTTAGCTATTATGATATTGGAAATAGTATTTAATAAATAAATGTTTTATATATAATTCAGTTTGGAATTCTGTAAATAGTCTTTTTCTTTTGTACTTCAGTAAATTGGTAAAGAATACAGGGATAGAGGCAGCCTTGGGATACCTGTTCTCTCTTTCTTCTTTGATGAGTATAAGAGCTTATATTCTAGGATGTTTTGAGGGGGGAATTTCACTTAGCAACAAGGCTCAGTTGTAGACCCCTCAGTCTTACTGTGGGCAAGCAAAGCCAGGAATTCCCTTGCCTTTCTGTGTTAGAGACGTCTGATGATTCGCTGATGCTTAAAAAGGCACCCAGTATTAGAATCCCTTTTGATAACCTCCTTTCTTTGTCCCCAATCTGAGACCTTTAAAAATCTTTATGACATTTTCATCTCCATTTTGGGGGAGGTGAAGAAATCAGCAATTGAAGCTTGAAGCTAAATATAATTCATGGAGATCATTTTGTCTATTTACTCACCAAGTGTTTCATGTCTTTTGTATGTTTAGCATTTTGCCCTGTTCCATGACACATGGCAAGGGAAGTTCTCTGAAAATGTAAAGTCTGGTTGGGAGATGAGTATTCCGTAATACGTGATCACCTAGGACTAAATCCAGAGATGAGGATCATGCACGGAGAGGGGTGAGATCACTGTGCAGTGGAGTGCTTGGAATGTTCTACAAGGAGGAGATGGGGCTTGAGGGGAGGTGAGATTAATGTGCATGGTTTGCATTAGAGAAGGGACAGCATGACATGGAGGAGGCCACAGACTTGCTGTGTTAGGGTAACAAGTCCACTCTTCTAGCTGTTTAGGTAGAGACACTTTCCTACTCTATGACTTCCCTTCGTGTAGTTCTTGCAGTCGTTTTTCTTCATTATGTTACTTCATAGATTTTTAAAGTTAATTGGGTTACCTAATTAAAGTGCCAATAGCCGAAAAGATACAACCTCAGAAACATAAAATAACATCTATAACATTCACATTGGATTTGGAAAACAGCTTAATTAGGATGAGGCAAAACCAGTGAGAAAAATATTATGTAGTAATCACTCATTTCCCTGGAACTTAGGTTTGGTGAACTATTTCTAACACATAATCTTGGTCATTTTCTCTGATTGAGAAGGTAGCTTGTCCATTAAAAAAACTGAGAGCGTTCTGTGTTGTAGACTTTGTAAGTTAGCCACCACTTGTAACTTCTTTCGCAGCGATAATCTATGGTGATAAAACCAATTTTATTTATTTATTTATTTATTATTATTTTTTTAAAAGATTTTATTTATTTATTTGACAGATAGAGATCACAGGTAGGCAGAGAGGCAGGCAGAGAGAGAGAGAGAGAGGAGGAAGCAGGCTCCCTGCTGAGCAGAGAGCCCGATGCGGGGCTCGATCCCAGGACTCTGGGATCATGACCTCAGCCTAAGACAGAGGCTTTAACCCACTGAGCCACCCAGGCGCCCTGATAAAACCAATTTTAAACGCTCATGTCGAAGGAGGAATACAAAATAGGAGCACCTACTTTGTGCTAGGCATTCTGTAAAGTTCCACCCGACCTGGCCATGACTTTTTTGCCTAATCTACCACCACTCCTCACATGAACACCATGATTTAACATAGTTTAATATGTGCTTACTATCCGCTAAAGCTGATGACAGATGAATGTGGCTGCAAAATGAGTCTTACAGCCCCAAAGAATGTGCTGGTGTCTAGTGGACTGAGTCCTCTTCACCTGTGTGGCTATGCACCTGCCCCCCATCTCTCTGCCCCGAACACCCCTTCCTCCCTGCCCCTTGTTGTTTTGATTAGCTGATGTTCCTTCTTTAAGACACAGGTCAAACAACATTTCTCTCAGGACTCCTCTCCCAAAGTGGATTTTATTTTCCCAAAGCAGCTGGTAGGTACCAGTATTATAGTTACGTTATGACTCTTGGTTTCTGTATTCACCTTGAGGACAAGTTTTGTTTCTTTCATGTCCATGGGTTCTGAGCCGGGCACAGAATATGTAGTGAACAAATTCTGGATGCTGATGTTTTCTGGGTAATGGTCTGGCACGGAGATGGTTGCTTGCCTGTTAAAACACAGACTTCTGGGTCCCTGTGCTGGATATACTCTCAAAATCTCTCGGACTGGGGCCCAGGAATCTGGACTTTTCACATGTGCTGATAATGCACATTAAAATGTTTGATGAGCAAATGACTGACTGTAGTCACTTGGTCTGGATTAGCAGTACCTTTTCAGGGATGTGTGCTGGAGCTGGTCTGAATGGGATTGAGACCGGAATCTGTGCACCAGTTGTTAAATAAAGCAGTTATTAAACATTAAAATCGTATAAACCTGAAATGAAATACATTATATTTTAAAACAAAGTTAAGACATACTCAAAAGCTATCACTTCCTAATGATTTTACTACATTTTACTATTATCTATACTCTTTACTGTCACCTGTGCTCCTTTTAATCGGCGAGGTGACAATATTATGTGTCAGGTGCTGCTGCTCATCTCTTCTGTCCCTGTTCAGTGACGTCACATTGGTAGGTTGAAGTTGGCTGTGGTGGGAATATTTACACCATGGAAACTGGTAAATACTGCAAATTGGGGCTTGTTTTGTTGTTGTCTGCACTTAAGATGTTCTGTGG